GCCCTCTTCTGTTCTGTGCAGGCATCTGCACACACATGTGCACATGCACACACACACACACACACACACACACACACACACACACACCGAGACTGTAGAAAAACAAATACAGAAATACACCTATAAAATAGCCTACTATACACAGGCTAAGGATGTAAAGAAGCAGTTTGTTTCCAAAGGACAACCCAGAGTTCGTATTAGTGTGTCTCAGTGGCAATCATCCAGGCAATCATCAAACTACCACTGAATACTTTACAACTTTTCCAAGTAGTATGTGAAGAAAAATTCCATCAAAGCAGCATATTTGTGATGTATTATTTCCAAGTGGGTGACAGAGCATGTACAAACTTTATCAAATACTCAATGTAATGCTTTTTAATTTTTTAGGTTAACAATGAAAATAAGACTATCAGGTGATACAGTTGCCATCTACTTGGAGTAAATTCTTCCCTGTGGTTCTTCGTGAGTCATTCTATCGCATTATATTCTCTGCTGTGAAACACAAAATATGTTCAAACCTCAGGCATTCAGATAAATATTTAGCAACTGTTGGAAATAAACTCAAAAGCCAGTGGCAACAAGAACTCCAACAGCTACAGTAGCTGACACTAATTTATTGAGATATATTGGGAACTCTTGAGACTAAAGTGCCTGCTAATGAGGCTACCACAAACAAGTTCCCAAACTTCGACAAACTTTATTCAAACATCTGATGGAGGACTTTGATTTATGAGCTGTACAGGTGAAACCTTAACAGATGGTACCTTTTAATAATAATTGACACATGAATTTGCTAAGGATTTCAGTGTCTTGAAAATAAAATATGCAGCTCAGTAAAGGAAAACAAAGAAGAACATTTTCAGAGTCCTCTACCTTATCTTTGTCTTCAACAACATCTGCCAAAATATCATCTGGATCCAGGATTCCTCCATCTGTGTATTCTAAGTGATGAATCTTCACCCAGTATCCAGGATCCTGTGGTAAAAGAAGGAAGTTTAAGGACTCATTTTGAGAGAATTAATTCAACTCAATAAAAATATGGCTATGGTATACTACTAAAATTTTAAACACTAAAAAAATCTTTTGTCATTTTTAACCTGTTTGACTCAAATAATACCCATTTCATAAATACCCCAGAAGAGACATTACAATGCAAAAATAAATTGCCTCACTGACTTGAAAGCATGCTTTAAATTAGGTAACGTTGAGAACATTCTAGAGAAGAATAATCTAAATATGCTTTCTCAATTATGGATAGTTAGAAAGCTCCAAACACAGAAATGTGTGACTCTAACAGCTGTCATTTCAGAACATCCCAGGGGAACAGGGATTGCACCAACCCCATTTGCTTTTTAGACTTTCCATATTCAGTGTGCATCCTGAACTGTGGACTTTGCAGTGGTCCATGAAGCAAAGAGCTTTAGTCCCGCTCTCCATTTTCCAAAGCATTGTGGACCCTGGGGAGCTGTGTTCAGAGTTGAACAGGGAGCTCTCTAAGTTGCCCTTATGCTTTAAGGAATTTCCAACTATTCTTGTTTAATTTTAATTCTTGGTTTTAAAATACTGCTTAGTCTGATATTAAACAAATGATATGACTTTTCAATTATCTATGTACTACCCATTTCCAGGAAAACTATGAAAATGAAGAATTATAAAAGGGTGACTAGATATGAATCAATGAGTGGAGTGAAGAAAGGCATCAGTAGAGATTTTATAGAACATCCAGGCTATAACCAACTTAGTTCTGTGACTCTTAGTTCACAAAGATAGTGTTGATCTATGATGTGCTTGATAGCCAATAAAGCAAGAGATACCAGTTTGTGCAAAGAGATGGAACTCCTTCTAGGACAAAGCTTTAAGTCTTATCACATGACTCTTTATTAAGAGTAAGAACTAACAGAACTTACATAACCCAATTGCGATTTTACAAAGGCTAATAGAAATAATTGCCATACAGCCTTCCCTTTGACCCCTGATAGAAAACAAGGGCCTCCTATTAAATAATAATTCCTTTAGGCATTTGAATGGGGGACTATGCATGTGGCCCAACTACAAAACTTTTCAGTAATCCAACTTGATAACGATAGCCTTTAAAAATTTGAAGGAATTCTTGGCTAGGGTTTGTACATTTCAAATTTTTCTATGGAGTATCTAAAGAACAATTCCAAGAAGCATGAGAGTTTCACTGGCTTCTAATACTAAGATTATAGCTGGAAACATTAGTGAATCATTAGGAAAAATTTAAATGCCTACCTCTATTGCCCAGATTAGAAGCCAAAGACAGGAGCAGTAAGAATACAGCATGTGAACACTCCCACCTCTCAGATCCTGTAACCAGAGATCTTTGCCAAAGCAAAGCAATTGTGCTAAAAAGATGAGCTAAGTATAAAAAGCAAGATTCCAAACAGAAAGGACTCTGGGGTTTACAAACAGAGTATAATGCCATTGACTATGTCCCTAAAAATCATCAGGAGTTAAATCCTTATGATACGGCCGTGCCACAAGCAACATACTTCTCCACATCAGCCTACAACTTAGAACACTGTTTTCCTTGTAAAAAATGGCCTGATAATTGGGTTTATTATATTACAGTTCTATAGATAAACTTTGTTGATTTAACCATATTTGTAAAGTGATGTATTTTTAAGAGTTTTCATTAAATATAAATATTTTAAAGACACTATCTAGTAAGTTGACTAATTTTTTATTTTACTCAGCCTCTAAAAGCTGACTGTATAACTTAAAAATCTGAGGTAAGTAATTAGCCTTAGAGACTGCAATGTAAAGTCCATGTTACTTCCTGACTAGAGGCAGAAACAGAGGGAGAAGAAAATCCAAATAGTTTTTATTTAAAAGAGGAAAAATTCAACAACAACAAAAATAGCATGGAATAGGCTTTCTTATCATTATAACAAAAGTGGTTGACAAATGGCAGCTAAATAAGATCTAGCACTCCCTCTTCAGAAACTCTCATGGGATCTAAGACATTCTGGAAACAATACAAGGTGATGATAATTCTCTCTCATTTATGCAAAACAATATAGAGCTAGATCAAGTTTTTAAAAAGGGAATTTGGTAAATTTGGAAACCCACTTGACCAAAACAAAACATCACATGACAATTTAATTTTAATGAAAATATGCAATATTAAATCCCTATTCTAAGCTGATTCTGTCATTTTATATATACACAAAGGAAGAAAAGTAAGGCTGGCCAGGTGTCTCAGCAGGTAAAAATCACTTGCTGTGCAAGCATGAAAACCAGAGGTCAGTCCCCAGAACCCATGGTGGAAGGAGAGAACTGACTCCTCAGAGTTGTCCTCTGACCTCCACCCATGTGCCATGACACCTGCATTTACACACATATATCCCACAAACACACACAGTAATCACAATCGTAATCATGAAAATAATTCAAAATAAGAGTCAGTTCATGATAGTCACATATCTAACCCTGAACAAAAACAGAGAAGCCCTAGAATAGCAGTCTCAGGGCTCAGGGTTAATGTTTTTATATATATATATTCAAGGTAGAAAAATCAATAAACAAGAATGCACCAACTGCGGTTCTGTCCCTGTGGTATTTAACTGTGGTGCCATAGATCACTTTAAGAATACACATTCAATATTAGAAGCCTATAACCACCATAAGACATAAATTTACACTGACTCTTTTATGCATGTAAAAATTTCAACCATTACATTGCAGTCAACATTTTGCATTTCATTTACTTGGCTTTATTACCATCCGAAATAAAGCTGATCAAATACGAAAGGATGTTCACATATGTGTCTTGGTTCACACAATTAATCTCTTGGATCAATTTGCTGTATTTTTTCATGATCATAACATTTAGTTTACCTTTATGTAGTGCATACATCTGTAATACACATAACTATTATTTTGAAAATATCTATACATGTGCTCACTTTGCTATCCAATAAGTCTTATTATTTATACTTTAAGGACTATTAAAGTATTGAAAAATGACATATGCTGCATTTTCTCCACTTCTAACATCTTATCTGT